CCGTGCGCCAGGCCTTTGAGAGCGCAGCACGAGAGCTCACAGAGGTGCTGTGGTTACACGGTGGTCGCTCTCCTTGGAAATCAAGCCGCGTCAGCTGCTTAGCAAATATTCTGTGAGTGACCACGAAGTGGCTCACAACTCATGAGTGTGTGCCTGTGGGGGGAGCATCTTTTGAGGTGGCATCCTCTAGGCTGACGGCTTGGGCAGTTCCGTCCTCTATTTCACCGGGGTCAGGGTTATTTGGGAAAAGCCATCACCTGGGTCCCGCCAGTGCCGGTTCTGCTGTCTTTGTGCAGCTCTCGTGCTGAAAGCCGGTTCTGTGGTGTATCTTGCAGTGTTCCTTTTCACCACCAAGATTTGTCAGGTGGAAGTGGGCTTGGTTGGCTTTTTTATTTGAATCCTTTTTCTACCCACAAACAGTTCACATGATTCCTCCTCCCGCGTAGCTACAATTTAGTAATTCAGCCTTACCAGATCATAGCCTACGATTTGGTGGTTAAAGTGTGTCATGCCAGGACCCTGCCCCTCCTGTGACTGAGGCACACGCTGATGAAGCTAGCTGTGATGTGTTTAGCCACTGAAGGCTCCCTTGGGAAAGCCTGCCATGGTCTCCAGGCTCGACCCCATGTGCTGGCAGCCAAGCAGGCTCAAGCACGCACCTCCAGTGTGTGTCCCCCTGTAGATTACGAAGAAGGAGGTTTAGGTACCTAGAAGTTCTGCCATGATGAGCGCATTCCCCGTAGCCACCTCTGGGGCCGTGGACGTAGACATGCTGCCCTCCCTAACGGTGAGGACCGGGAGCATGCATGAGGTTAAGAACGGGGCGCTCTCACCCTACGCTGATGGTCACCTTCATGGAGCAGCTCTGTCAGTTACAAATGACTGGCGTCCTCTTAGCAAGTACGTTTTTAAAAGAATGACACAGTCTCCTCTCTGTCTTCTTGGTGCTGTTTCCCGTGGGCTAGTGTCCTCCCTGCTCCTGTCTCCCTCCCGGTTTGGCATGAGTGTGTCCCTACATTTTGCTCCTGGGTATCTTTGAGGCTTTACCTTGAAACAATTGGGAAGTGTCCCAAGTTCACAATAACAGAGTCATGAGGACAGGGAAGGGGGGAACCTGAAAGATTTACACAGACCCAAGGTGTTTGTGATATTATGTGTGCAGAATGTAATAGCTCTTAACTTAATAACGAAGGGGCGCCTGGGAGGCCCAGTCGTCGGGCCCCCTGCTCCGCGGGAAGCCTGCTTCTCCCTCTCCCACTCCCCCTGCTTGTGTTCCCTCTCTCGCTGTGACTCTCTCTGTCAAATAAATAAATAAAATCTTAAAAAAAAAAAATAATGAAGAGTGTTCTCTAGCCAAAACTGTGGTCATCTCTTATTTCCCTCTTGACCTTAGCAGTTTTGGTGTAGTGTTGGGCTTGTCTCGGGCAGGCGTACTTCTTACCACCCCCCGCCCCCAGTTCAAGAGCCTGTCACTGGGGTTCCTGGCAACACCCACAGGCTGAGACTGAGTTTTGTCTCCTGGTGCCTCTTAGCTGTTAGTCCCTGTTAGGATCGGGACTTCATCGACACGTTCTGAAGCAAGTTTGTCCGTGTTGTTAGTCTGTCTGCAATTTAAAAGGACAGGAAGCCACTGTCACTCGTGGGCAAAATCCAGAGCCCATTTTTGTTTTTTATTCTGCTTCATGAAAGTAATTGTAAGGTTTGTGTCAAATGCAGGGTGGTGGCTCATTACTTAAGAGCTGGGCAGTCTTGAATACCCAAGCGTAATGTACAGCACTGCCGGGCCCGGTTGGTTTTATAACATTCGGTTCACGTTACATGGATAATCAGAGGAGTAGAGTCAAGTACAGGTCCAGCTCATGCCACTCATGCCTCTTTCTTCTTTCAAGATTAACAATACTAATTTAAAAGGTGTTTAAAACTTAAACCGTGAAGTTGTAAAAATAGCCAAATGAGGTTCTAAAAAATAGAGTTCATGAGGTTATAATCACAGGCTTCTTGGTAAACTATAAATGAAAATAGTACAGTAACACCTTAGCTGCTTGGTACCCTGGAAGAATTGACATAATTTCCAGAAAGTTGAAATTTTATTGCCTTTTAGAATTTTAGATAGAAAGCTTTAAAACTATTTTAGTCTCCTTTTTTTAAAAAGATTTTATTTATTTGAGAGAGAGAGAGTACACAAGCAGGGGGAAGGGCAGAGGGAGAGGGAGAAGCAGGCTCCCTGGGGCTCTATCCCAGGACCCTGGGATCATGACCTGAGCCGAAGGCAGACGCATAACGACTGAGCCACCCAGGCGCCCTCTGCTCTTCTTAATCGGAATAGATTTTAGTGTTTTTGGTGACAAGTTTGTCTTTAGTCTGAATGTCAGTTTTTATACTGTGTTAAAGGAGTGAATGATGCTTCCGGATGCTTCTGAGGTATGTAAGACTTGGTAGCACCCCATGTGACCCTCGCATGCCCTTGCTGAGAGTACACCACTGCGTCATATCTGTGCTCTGCCACTTAATGGCATGGTGGCCTTGGGCACGCTGTCTGAGCTCTCGGCGTCTGTCTGGGTCCTCATCAGGTGTCTCTTGGGGGGTAAACACAGGCTCCTTTGCTTTCTAGGGTCAAGAACACGAGAACGCCAGATAGGGTCCAAACATACAAGCCGTGACGACAAACTGAACGCATTAAGATGATTCTAGCAAACGGGAGGGTGAACAAAGGGTAGTGTGGAGAGGAAGGAAGTCAAGCGAAGAGGTAATTCGGAAAAGGAAACCTTTTCATTGGAAAAGGTTGGACCCAAACACTGTCGTGATGGTCACTCATTTAAAATGATTCAGCAGTCACTGAGCACTCAGAATGGTTGTGAACCAGGTTTGGGTTCCCATGGTCTCCTGAGTATCCCTTAGGCAGTATCTCCTAATCCCCCGTCCTGCCCTGTGCTGCTTCCGTGGGAACCGCAGTTTCCCACCAAATGCGTCCATTCAGATGGCAGTGCCTGTGTGCCTGCTGTTTGCATTAGGGGGTACGGAGAACTAGGGAACATAGTCACCTGGCCCGCGCCTTCAAGGAGCATGTGTGGGGAAGCAAGAAATACCACGCAGGATAGCTGACTGTTGAAAACAATAGCAGGTGCTCAGCGACTGGCTCAGAGCACGCACGGCACCTCATCCAGCCAGGAAGTAAGGAAAGGCCTTGTAGAAGGACTCTGAACAGGAAGTGGGCAGTTAGGGCAGGAAAGGGAAGGAGGAGCAGGAAGGGGACCCTCAGTGTGAAGGGGGTGACGACATGAGCTGCTGAAGGCAGGAAAGCCCAAGGCCCAGGGGCACGCACTGGGGTGCGGGGGGGGGTTGCAGTGGGTCTCAGCTTTGGGCTCAGGACCCCGTCACACTCCTAAAAATTATGTAGGATCCTGAGGAACTTTTGTGTATGCGGGCTTAGCTACCAATACTTACTGTATTCCAAATTAAAGCAGAAAAATAAAGTGTATATTTATTCATCCATTTAAACCTAATAAGCCTATGTGCTCCTTTGGCAGCACGTATGCTAAAATTAAAAATAATAAGCCACTTACATGTTAACAGAAATAACAGTTTTTATGAAAAGAGCCATATTTTATGAAACAAAGACAAATTTAGTGAGAGAGCGACATTGTTTTATATTTGTGCAAATCTCCCTAAGGTCTGGATTCTCCTGTCTGCTTCTGCATTCACTCTGTTGCCGTATGTTTCGGTTGAAGTGTATGAAGACACATGTTTGGGGAAAGGAGGAGTATCTTAATAGCCTTTTCAGATGGCTATGGACATTTTCTCGATATTACACCAAAACTTAAACGGGCAGCTTCTTGAAGTAATCTGCGGTGTAGAGTCTCAAATCGTGTAATGAGCTGTCCATACATTTTATTCCATTAAAAATCCAGTAGACTGACTTTCACTCCGAGTGGTTCACTTGCCCTTGAATGATACTGTAACACGATTTATTGATTACTTTGAAAATTCTGGTTCACTGAGTTGTGCAAATCTTCTGAGACATTTTGCAAATGTTGGACACATTTCAGTATATATATATATATACTGAAATATAATCGATCGATAAATCCCATTCCTTTGTGTCACCACCGAGCTCTTCACCCCAGGGAAGCTGTCAGACTCACGCTGGCATGTAGTTTTCCAGACTTCCCAGAATACTGGAAGATCGTGCAGAGCTCCTTCACTGTCCAGCCCCAAGATGACCCTCCAGACTTATTTCTTATCTCTCTTGTATCATGGTAAAGATCATGGGGGGATAAAAAGTGTAAATATGGATAAAGCTTTTAGTATGGTCCCTGGCCCAGACAAGCACTCACTAAGTAAAGTGAGTGTTGGTACTTACTATTTGCACTGTTTTTATACTGCTGTCCTCATGAAGATCACCAGGTGTCCTATGGGGTATGTGTTGACTGTGGCCCAGAATGAGGAATGAAACGTGCTGTGTGGAGCGCCAGGGTGGTGACTCATCTGACAAGCCTCAGACTGAGGCCACTAGCTCTGTGCTTGCCAGCCAGCCAGAGGACATCCATGTGCCCTTCCCTGTCACTCTCCTCGCCTTTCCTGCACCTACGTCCACAGGTGTTGCTGGTGGGAGGGTCTGCCCCCCACCCCAGACTGGGGCCTGTGGTTTGGCTCACCCCGTTGCCCAGCACAGTGCTAGCGTGTGATAACTGGCACTCAGATGGTATTTGTTGAGTGCACGAATGCATTTAGAGGGTTTATTTTGAACCGGACTCTCGATGTGGCTTCAGAGAGCAAATAGTATAGAAATTTTATCCTAAGAAGCATATGAGCTGAGCATTAACTAGCTGCTAGTTGTTTTTCTGTTTGGGGAATGTTTGACCTCTCTTCATCCCTACCCTGTCTCTCATCTTGAATCTCTATTAATTCAAAATAAAAATAGTAGAAGGCTTAAAAGTGCTTCACAGTCATTTTGGGTTAAGCATCTTTGCGATCAATATCCTTTGCTTTCTGCTTTTCAGATGTTCCTCCTGCTGATCAAGAGAAGCTTTTTATCCAGAAGTTACGTCAGTGTTGTGTCCTCTTTGACTTTGTTTCCGATCCACTAAGTGACCTAAAGTGGAAGGAAGTAAAACGAGCTGCTTTAAGTGAAATGGTAGAATATATCACCCATAATCGGAATGTGATCACAGAGCCTATTTACCCAGAAGTAGTCCATATGGTAAGTGATTACAGTTTGACCGGTGTGTCCCAGCCCTGACTTATAAACAGGGCTCTGATATCCTTAGCGTAAGCTGAGCCGATGGAGCCTAACCCAACACTTCCCTCAAAAAACCCTCCTGTTGCAAAGTGTGTACTTGAAGAATGAAAATCTTTGTAATGTGTCCAGTGTTATAGCGGTAACAGTGAGGGAAATTGGTACCTTCTGGGTCCAGTCACAGTGTTCTGTGTGTGTGAACTCATTTAACTCCCACGAGTACCCTATGGCCAGATATGTTAGAGTTCTCACTTGTATTTATTTCCTTACCCTCTTTAATGTAATAGTGCCGATTATAATTTAAAAGTAAACATGTTGTCCATACATTTGCAGGAAAATTCTAATGATGGGGCAGAGTTAAAATAGTGGTGGGACCAAGCTGGCATCGGGACAGGCCGCCCTGATTGGCCGGCATCCTCCGCTGTCGATGCCAGTGTCAGGATGGGCTGCCCTGATTGGCCAGCAGCCTCCACTGTCAATGCCAGTGTCGGGGCGGGCCGCCCTGATTGGCCAGCAGCCTCCACTGTCAATGCCAGTGTAAGGACAGGCCGCCCTGACTGGCCAGCATCCTCCGCTGTCGATGCCAGTGTCGGGACAGGCCGCCCTGATTGGCCAGCAGCCTCTGCTGTCGATGCCAGTGTCGGGGCAGGCCGCCCTGATTGGCCAGCATCCTCTGCTGTCAATGCCAGTGTCAGGGCGGGCCGCCCTGATTGGCCAGCAGCCTCCACTGTCGATGCCAGTGTCGGGACGGGCCGCCCTGATTGGCCAGCAGCCTCCGCTGTCGATGCCAGTGTCGGGACAGGCCACCCTGATTGGCCAGCAGCCTCTGCTGTCAATGCCAGTGTCGGGGCGGGCCGCCCTGATTGGCCAGCAGCCTCTGCTGTCAATGCCAGTGTTGGGACAGGCCGCCCTGATTGGCCAGCAGCCTCCACTGTCGATGCCAGTGTCGGGACAGGCCACCCTGATTGGCCAGCAGCCTCCACTGTCGATGCCAGTGTCGGGACAGGCCACCCTGACTGGCCAGCAGCCTCCGCTGTCGATGCCAGTGTCAGGACGGGCCGCCCTGATTGGCCAGCAGCCTCCGCTGTCAATGCCAGTGTAAGGACGGGCCGCCCCGATTGGCTGATGGCCTCTGTCACCCCGTGGTCAGTTCATTGTTGGTTTCGTTCGGCCCCCAGATCTCAGCCCTCTGCCGTCTTCTACTTTGCAGCCTGTTTCCAGGCCCTCTGCAGGATCCCATTTCGAACTCATACTGTTTGACCCTGAACTCGTTTTCTGTTGAGATTTTTTTGGAATTTTTGGTGTTTTATCCACCTTTGAAATTAGTACTCTTTGGTTATAAGGGAGTCCTTGTTGCTTGAAGTAAAATTTTATATCCTGATTTTCGTTGAACTTCTTAAGTTACTGATTTTTTCCCCCAAAGCTATATATTTCAGAATTGACTAATCTCATGAGCTAAAATATGTTTATTTCTCACTTTCATATGTTGCTTTGGGAAAAGAATTTGAAAGTAATGATCCTTTTTGTAGTTTTCACAATCTGTTGTGTCAGAAGTTGAGATCAACTTGATTATTTTAACTTGTTAACTCAGAGTTGAAAATTTACCAGCATGTGGCCAGCCCAAGGCTGCAAGGGCCACGTGGGTCCCCACCCCAGACTCTGCTTGATGAGTGTCCTGACTTTTTTCCTGTTCAGACTAGGAAAAATGGGAGAGTCTCTTTTTTTCATTCCTTAATTTCAAATCTCATTTACTTTGGAAGGTTTCCCAAATGCCAGACTCTCAAAGAACAAGCTAATATTTCTCCTAATACCTTCATAATTTTGTTGTTCAAAATACATTTTATAATCCTCCTGGAACTTTGTTTTTTTTTTATGGTACAGAGGAGGGATATAACTTTATTTTCTTGTAAGGTAATTAAAAAATCACTCATCTCTACATCATGTATTCCCTCACCCCCATTAATTTTTTTAAAAGATTTTATTTACTTGTTAGAGAGCACGAAGAGTTGGGGGCAGAGGGAGAAGAGAGGGAGAAGCAGGCTCCCCCGCCAAGCAGGGAGCCTGACGCGGGGCTCGATCCCAGGACCCTGGGATCATGGCCTGAGCCAAAGGCAGCCATTTAACTGAGTGAGCCACCCAGAAGCCCCTTCCCCACTCATTTTAAATGCTTCTTTATTGCGTATTAAATTTATTTTATCTTTAAATTAAATCCATTTATTAATATATTTTAATTTATAAGCACATCAATTTGTTATATTTTAAATCACATGGTTGGAAGGTTTTTCCATTTTTAAGGAGGGAAGAAGGGAGAGTCTGCAGAGCATGAGGCTGTGGTTGGCCTGGTTTGGGTCAGATGCCATCCCTGAACTGGAGCCCCGCCCTCCTGCTCAGGTCCTGGTCCCTTGCGTTCACATAGCAGGTGCATATTACCAGAACTACCCAGGATACTTAAAGCCCTGGAACTCTTTTTTAGATTAAATAGTCGTTAAGTTGTCTCCCTATTACAGTCGTGTCCTTACTGGGTTCTCTTTCTGCTGTCTTCGCTTTGTGCCTATCCCCAAAAGTTCAGGTTGGTCTCTGGAGTATTGGACAGTGGGCCCTCTAAAACACAGACCCTTACTGAGCATCCACTGTGGGCCAGGAACTTTTTAAGGGGAGGAAATAGAGTAGTGGACAGTATTCCTGCCCTCCCAAAGCTTTCCTTTTCATGGGGACAGGCATAAAGAAGAAGGAGTATGGTGAGAATGATAGTTGGCAGTGGTTTCTGTCCCTGTCAGAGGTAGAGAGTGGGTGCAGGACTTGAGTGGCCCAAGGAAGGCCTCCACCCCAAGCAGTGCCTGGACCCCGTGTGGCAGGTGGAAGAAATGGGGACCACTTCGCGGTTCCATCCGGATGCCCCGTGCTTTGCTGACCCCGGAGGCAGCCCTTAGCCAGCTTCCGTGAGCATTGCCGTGTGTGTGTGTGTGTTCAGGGTATTTTTAAAGACATTCATTTCCGCTTACTTTGAAGAATCCGAAGCCCTCTAGATGTTATTATGCTACTTCTTTTAAATACATTGCCTGTTAGACTGGAGTGCTATATGGTTTTTCTTAACAAATGTTTTAAGAGATAATTCATATACCATGCATTTCACCCATTTAAAATATATAATTCCATGGTATTTAGTATATTCCGAGTATTGTGCAGTTGTCATCACATCTCTTTTTATTTTTTAGAACACTTTCATCCCCCTAAAAAGCCCCATACCCGTTAACGGTCCCTGCCATTGCTCTCTAACCTGTGACCCCCAGCCTCTGGCAATCACTCACTTACTGCCTTACTGTCTCTGTAGAAGTGCCAAACCTGGACATGTCGCATAACTGGAATGATAGGATATGTGGTCTTCTTTCACTCAGCATAATGCTTTCAAGGTTCATCCATATTGTAGCCTGTGTCACTGGTTCATTTTATTGCTACATAATATTTCCTTCTATGGATACGTACCACGTGTTTGTTTATCCATTCATCGTCGATGGGCATCTGGGTCACTTCAGCTACATGGCAGTTAGGAGTAATGCCGCTGTGAGCATTCGTGTGCAGGCTGCCACGGGCACGCTTGTATTCCTTTCTCTTGAGTATTTACCTCGGAGTGGGGCTGCTGCATCCCATATTAACCGTGTGTGTCTAAGGTTTTGAAGAACGGCCAGACTGTTTTCTGTAGGGGCTGCACCCTTAGGCGCGCCCACCCGCAGGGCCTGAGTCCAGTTTGTGCACCTTGTCAACACTTGCCGTTGTCTGTTTTCTGGATGCAGCCACCCTGGGGTGGGGGGCGAAGCGGGATCTCCCTATACCTTTGGTTTGCATTTCCCCAGGGACCGACGATGGTGAGCATCTTGTTCACGTGTGCATAGCCTTCGGTCCTAGAGTGTAAGAGAATGTTACAGATCAGCCAGCCCATTTGTTTTCAGATTAAAAAACAACTTCGAAGAGATGAGACTGGAAAGGATCGCTAGCCACGGGGGAGCCCCAGGCATGGAGAGTCGCAGGCCAAAATCACATGAACTCCATTATCTCTTCATTTCAGTCATATTTTAAATATAATCAGCCATCTGTTTGTTTGTTTCAATTAAATTCTCTAGTTAATCTGCTTTTCAGGCCTTGGCATTTTTCTTAGAGTCAACACACCGATAGCAAAACCACTGTTTCTGCAGACACCATGTTGACGTGTCGTCACCCTCAGCCAGCCTGGTTATTCAAACAAACGTTAGTGAGCGTCTTCTCAAAACATAAAATGAGAAGCCCACTTAAAGGGAAACAGCTGACGGTGTTTGTTGTCAGTGACAAAGTTTGAGTTTTGGGGCCAGAAATGAATTTTGGAAAGTTCATGTCCATGAGCTTCCAGGGGCCGCAGGCTCTCCTGCTGAGGTCAGTGGTGGTAGGAACCAGCGGACGAAATGAATTCCCACCAGAAGGTCTGCCTAATCCAGGGAACCAGTGTTTTCCACATGTGCAATAAATGATGTTCCATAATCATTCGTGGGCCAGAGACCCATTCAAAGTGCAAGACACAGCATTGGATCTTGGTGCAGAGACCCCTCCTTGATAAGGAGCACCACCGTTTGCAGTACCACAGAAGCCCACGGTTATCCAAAAGGGCTGTTGAATACTCCTCCCTTCTCCCAACTGCAAACTGTAAGACACATTTTCTTCCTGTACTTCAACCAAACCAACATTCAGAATGTAGGAGCAGACATGAGAATCCAGTTCTTTTCTATTAAGCCGGACAGTAAAGAGATTAGCAAAAATGGAAAAAATGCCACTCTTCCTAAATTGTTGTTTGTTTTGGGAAATGCAGTTGACCTCTGAACGACACAGGTTTGAACCGGGAAGGTCCAGCTATACATGGATTTTTTTTTTTTTTAGATTATTTATTTATTTGACAGTGAGATGGAGAGCACAAGTAGGCAGAGCAGCAGGCAGAGGGA